CAGGCCCAGCCTTGATGTAATTGTTCTTCAAGAAGATCAGCTCACCACTCTGCTTCATTCTGTCCAAGTGGTGAACCAGCAGCTTTGAGTCCTCACCACTCATTTCCCCATACTTGCTTTCTATGTACTTGGTTATTGCTGTCTTGTTTGACCCTTCCTCTTGATTCAAAGCATCCAGAGCTTCAATTATCACCTGAACAGGACAAAACACAAAAATCAAATCAGATCTGATTTTCCCATCTTTGGATTTTGGAAGGAACAAGAAGACAAGGGATCGAGTACCTGGGGGTAGTCAAGGTCAGAGGGAAGCTTGTTGACCGGTTCAAACGCCATGGATAAGAAAATTGTACAGCAGAAAGAGAAAGAAACAGGAGAGAAAGAGGAGGAAGAGGAAGAAGGGGTTTGTTTGGAGTCCCCACAGGATTTAAGTGCAGTGTCAGTTTGAGAAGTACAGAATAAATGATGGGAGATTAGAAAAAACAGAGAGGTTCTGGATCTGTGTAGAAAGAACGAACGGTTGAGAAAGGTTTGGAGGCTTGGAAGTGACGGTTGGTGATCAATCATTGTTGGGTCACGGGGATCGATGACGCGGTGGATCGGCTGAGCTCTGATAACGAGGCCGGCTTTGGATTTGTTTGTTTTATTAATTAATTAATAATGATAATGATGCTCTTTCAATTAAATTAGTGATAATCCTCACTCTCAAATTGGTGATTAGAGTCAAAGTAGGCCATTTTCGTTCTAATGAAGGAGTATATTTTGTCAATGGCCCATTTCCGATGGGCGTGGTTTGGATAATTGTACGGTTGGTACTTGGTGGGTACTCTCTTATTTGCTCTTTCAATTAAATTAATGATAATCCTCACTCTCAAACCTACCTATAAGGATGTTTTCTTTTGGACTGATTTCAGTTCCAGATCAGACCAGACCAGACTTCCGTAGTCATAAAATACATAGAGACCATACGTTTACCAGACCAGACCAGACCAGACCAGCAAATTTCAGTCCAGAAGAAAACATCCTAAATTTAGAGTCTACTCTCTCCTTAACATTCATATCAACTCACTTTCCTTTTTTAGCAATAATATTCATATCTTTCTATTTCTAAATCTTTGTATCATATCTTCAATAATTTTGAAAATAATACACTTTAACAATTACTCCCTCCGTCCCTAAATAAACTTCCAACTTTCCTTTTTCGTCTGTCCCAATTAAAAGTTCCACTTTCCCTTTTTGGCAAAAAATTTGTGGTTCACAACAATTCTTACACATTTCTCTCTCCTCTGCACAACTTTCCACCACACAATACCCATTATCTTAAATTGTGTGTCAAACCTATTTGGAAGATAAATTAGGGACGGAGGGAGTACCTTTTTTTGTATTTATCCTTCATTCCAACACATTATTTCATTATCTTCCCATCATACCCTCAATAATTTATATCCTCTTTCAGTATTCTTAATTTTACCTACTTTTAAACGGGAAGATATAAGTGTTACAGAGGTAGTATTTGATAATATTGAAATTGAATCAATCGACTGATTCTACTGAAATTTATAAAATTTTTCTTGAAATGGTTGTATTGACTGATTTTGTTGAATTATGGGGAAAAAATATTTAAAATATATTTTACTAATAAAATAAAGAACTCCGTGTGAAAAATAGCTAAAATGGTCATTTATAGTAACGTCAGCCAATGTAGACAAAAAAGTAACTTCAATCTTACTTTTTTTTGTTACTCCGTATTACACCATTCAAAAGTTACCTCTTAACAAATGGAAACTGGTTCTAGTTCTGCTTCTGCATTAAAAAAGAAGCAGAAGCAGTTCCAAACACCCCTTATCAAAGAATTTACCTACGGCCGCACTCTCATAGCAGTATAGCACTAATGTAAAATATCCAGCATGATATTTAGAGCTCCTAGGTACAACTTCAACAGACGAATTAGAGTTCAGTCAATAACAAGTCACTTCAAAATTAAAGACAAAATTAAACCTCCAGTAAACTGCACTGCAGTAGTATGCAAAGATTCTAATTTACTTTGAAATGGTAGTTCACAAAGAGAGCAATCCTTTTGAAGAATTATGTAATTAAGTATTCACAAAAACTTGTACTAAAAAAGTTCGCATCAAGTACCCCATTATGTAATTTGTTTCTAATGTGGCAAAACAGTAAACTAGTTAATGATATCATTCAAGTACACTGCGCAACAATGTGCCTTTACAGGCTTTACATAATCGGATCATTAAGGACATGTTTACTTTCCCGTTTAACTTAGGTTACTAAAAGTTTGAAGTAAACGTTTTGTGCTGGGTATATGCATGCTTACTAAGCAATTCTACCCTTAACCGTCGTTTATTAAACAAAAGCCTCCCATGTTTTATTTAATCGGTGCGTTAGGTCATTTTATATTGACTATCATATACTTAGGGTTAGTTTGCAACTGTTTTTAAAAAAGCACTTCTCAGCTTTTGGCTTTAAAAAAACACTTATTTTTCCAAACACTACAACTTTTATTTTTCTCGGCTTCCGCGTCAAAAATGATTTTACTTTTTCTATTACACAAAAAGCACTTATTTTACCAAACACTACCCACTTTTACTTTTCAAAATCACTTTTTTCTCAAACACTATCAACTTTTATTTAATCACTTCTCCCCATTTCATTAAAAAAGCACTTTTTTAAAAGCAGAAGCTGTTGCAAACAAACCCTTACTTTATAGCATTGTGAACTTTTTATCACATCTATACCTAGCACCAGGCCTTCCTCGATCATCCGCCCATTCTCATACGAGATCGAAAGTTCAGCCAAACTTTGTTCTCCTCTGAACATTTCTCAAACACAAGAAAACTCTCCTCCCTCATATACAAGGAGTCTAACACAGACAAATAGGGGCAGTTTCAAAGTAATTGACGCCCCAGGCAATTTTAACCTTTACTTACGTTTATTGTGTGAGATTCTCAAAATTTGTTAGATAAAAGGTTAAACCTAACCCGCGAATCTGCGATATATAGCACAAATTTTGGTCTCATGAGTCATGGCAAGTTGATTACATCAGAACATTATAAACGGAGTATTATATATCATATATAATACCTGCTTGTTCAATCGTCTCTATAAATCTTGATAGATGGAGATAAAAAAAAATGGAGGAAGAGAGTATGTCTGGTCATCGGTGTTAAGCTCTGCTTCAGGAGCCACTTGAACTGCCCGGAGATATTCGTGCAATACAGTCCGCTGGGATTTTCATTACTTGGGTTATTTTTGACATTTGAAACATAAGACGTGTTTAAGCCCACTCAAGTTAACGGACTTTTGATAATGAAGTAAACGCTGGCTAACTAAACAGTGCTTACTAAACAATGTCTTATTACCGCAGCGCTTAGTAAACATCGTTGATTAAGAATGGAAGTAAACATGTCCCAATTGTACTTATATACAGTAGCTAAAACACCGGGTGATGATCTGTGCAAAGTGAAGTTAGTTCATATATTTGCTAAATTACCGCAACTAATTTCACTTTACTTGATGGATTTTGGCTCAGGAAATGTATGGTTACCTAAAGTCATGTAAGATCACATTCAGGAATTTAATGTGTGCTCACAGGAAAATAATGTTACCTCATATCTTCCGAAAACAATATTGCCTGATGTGTTTGGCTCGAATAATAAAAAATGTTGTATTGATTTTGAATCAAACACAACAATCCCAGAAAAAGGCCAAAGTGCCAAAAGAGACATTCTAACCAAGTAAGCTAATAATACCTCACTTTCCTATGTGGCAATGATTTGAGATTACCCTGGCGATATAAAAACCCTTACCAAACAAGTTAATCTTATATTACCTTCATATGAATATGGTATTAAAAACGATAATCTGACACTACCTAATATGACCAAGCCAATCTCAGGTTATCCGAACTAAACATACCCTTAACAAACATTAGAATGCTCAAATGTGCCGCAATTTGAGCTTGGTTAAAGGTGCATGAATGTAAATACTAAACGATTTCAGGAATGTGATATGAACTTTTTGAGAGGCTTTCTTGTATAACGCCATTTATATTTTACTTTAATACTTTTAGCTATTGACAAAGATGGTTTTACAAATACACCTTCTCAGGACAAAATTAGACATCTGAAGATAAAAGCTTCATAAAACGATTATTGGGGTTGTAGTATCGAATTTGCGGTAGTAGACTACCAGTGATCTGTCTGCTACAGTGAAGTTCAACAAGTTCTACTTTGCAATATACCCTCTGATAGATGTAATGATAATATTTTTACTACGGAGTACGATAGTATTAAATAACATTCACAAATATTTTTATTTCTTTCATATTATAATTAAAAATGCAAAACAAAGTGAAGAAAACCTAGACTCTTACAGACTTACAGTGCCATATCCTCTAATCTAAGATTTTGGTTGACATCACATTTTCACATACATTCCAAAACATGGCCAACCATTGATGAGGAGAGTAAATTAGTTTCAAAAAGTTTGTAAGCCAGTGTGAACCAAACATGTAGGATGTAATATGACAATAGTATATTACCTCTCTTATCTCAACTCATCCCATAATAAGGCAATAAGCTGCCCCAACCCTGTTCTTTGGGAATGATTCTTGAACTGCAACTTTCCTACTAATCAGATTTTAGAAAAGCGTGCATGACAAAACACTGCTTCTGCTTCATATATCATAACCATTCCCTTGGTTTATTCCCTCTGAACACATATAATGCCTATTGTTTGGCAAAAACATAGGGAGGGGACAGGAAGGAAGGCAGTCGGGAGGGAGTTTTTCATGCTACCTTATTTGGTTTGGTTGCAGAGGAGCGGAAAGACATGATATTTAGCCCTCCCCTCCCCAACAAAAACAAAAATAAAGTATTAAATTGGGGCTAGGAAAATAGTTCTCATTTTTTTTAAAACCAAATGAGGTGGAGGAGAACTTTGCCTGCCCTCTCCCACAAAAACCATGAACCAAACATGCCAAGAACTAGTCAAACAATCAGATCATGTAATTAACTAAATTTTGTTCTAGAGTTCTTCACTTATACAAATTGCATAAATGCATAGTGAACCTTCAACAGAATGAAAAGCTAACCTATTAATTAAGCAATATGCATTTCCTTAGATGAGAAATTTACAAAACAAAAACAGGCGGTTTTTGTTTTTTAATAAAATAAAACTACGCAAAGTGTATCCACAAGGTTTTATAATTACTCATTGCATATGATTAGAATGCTCTATCACCAACCTCATTCGTTTTGAGAAAACATCCAATTCTGCAACTCTTTGTTTCCTCCATCGCTCCTCAAAGCTTTCCACACTCCCCTGTTTAAAACAGTCATCAAGACTCAAAATTTCTCCATCAATCCCATTCCTGAGCTCTTTCAGACATTTATCAAACACATCCACCACCATGTTTGCTATAGCCTTCCCTACATCACAGTCTAACTCCACATTAACCTGTTTTAGCTTCAGATCTCCCTCAAGCCCAAAATCAGCCAACTCAATTCCATCATTAGCCACTTTAATGGCATCCTCGATTACCGTGTGATCAGATCCCAAGTTTGACTTCTTAGTCTTATCAACGCTATTGTTGCGAAACGGAGACGAGGACGCAAAATCCGGGTGCCATAGCTGCTTCGAAATGTCATAAAGATTGCGATCATGGGGCGACAGTTGGGATACATCGCGCCCCTTGGTCAGGCGAGCCGAGATTACCCTGAATTTCCTACGGAGACGGCGAAGCTTCTCGGAGAGCTGAGTTTTGGTGTAGGGCTGCGACATAGTCGAGGAGAATCGAGCGTAGAAGACGTTGATGTCCCGAGGAAAGGAAAGATTCTCGGCGGTGCAGTCGAGAAGACCCTGTAGGAACCGGATCTCGTCGGACTCGGTCCATATCCGATGATACTTGAAGGGAGGGGGGTTCGGGTCGTCTCCGTGACACCCGTCATGTACGGCGGTCGGGGAATCGGGAGTGGAGGAGGTGAAAGAGTGGGGAGGCGTTCTGCGCTTGATGGGGAGCTTGGATGCTGATGATTTAAGGGTTTGGGTCGGGTCGGAGTCCATCGCCATGAAATGTGGGCAGGGCTGAACCATAACCGTCAAGGTTCGGTAAAGATCGCAGGTAATACAGTGCTCGGCAGCTCGCTCATCGCTAATTATGATTTGGTTTGGGTTGAGCCGTGAGCGTCATAATCGCTTTAGGGTAAAAGACCCACCCGGTAAGTCACGAAGTTAAGTGCGGGTTAATAAATCTTTTTTTTAAAAAAGAAAAACCTCATAAAAATTTTTCGTTCCCTCTATGCCGCCGTTAGGGGTGGGAAAAACCGAACCGAAATCCAGAAATCGACCCTGGACCGACCCAAATTATGATCCTGGTTCGGGTTTTTTCTTTTTAACCGGCCCGAATTAAAAAAAATCGGACCGAACCCAAAATTACGGACTCATTAACGAGCCTTAAAATCTATAACCCGACCCGGACCGATAAAAACCCGAAACAATTAGCTTTAATATAAAATTAATATAATATATGAATATAATTTTATAAATATTTCCTAATATATGATTATAATCACGGTGCATAAAAACCGATTTAGCAACTTTTAGTGACTACAAATATGTTCAATTTGTTTAGCGTAATGACCATGAAAATATATTTATAGCAACTCTAGTCACATTTTATATAGGATTATTGGCTTATTTTATCTCAAACTATCATCAAATTCACAAATCTATCTTCTTCTTTCACACTTATCAAAACAAGGCTCAAACTTCATCTTTTTAAACAATCATGCTTTTCTTTTTTTTGTTTTTTTAAAATTACACATTCTTATCAATACCAATAAGATATAAGTAATTCAAATTTGTAAACTAAAAACTAGAAAGAAGTGAAAAGTATGAAATATAATTATGATTTTCTTCTTAATTAAATTCTACCAATTCATCCATTGAAAGTGTAATTGTGAGAAAAATTGAAGTTCGAGACTTTTTTAATAAAAGTGAAAGTCTAGGATAGATTTGTGAATTTGATGATAGTAAATGATATATTTAGCTAATAATCCTTTTATCTATAAATATTATTTCGTAATATTTTTAAGAAACCTATGTTATTTATTTACATGCATCTTAAATAAAAATATTAAGATAATTATCTTCTTTGGATTTGAATTGTTGATGATTTTGGAGACTATTATTTGTGTTATTATTTGCGATTTGTAGTTTTGATTAATTTTGTTTGAAAGTAGGTGTTAAAATATAAAAGAACAATGAGATATATCAAGTTCGGACTTTAACCGACCCAACCCGAACCCGGACCGAACTCGGGCTACCAAAAACCCGACTCGGACCGAATATAATGGGCTTTGTTCCGGTCCCTAATTTTCATAACCCGAGACCTTCCGGGTAATTTCCGGGTTTAGCAAAAACCCGACCCGGACCGGATCGATCCCACCCCTAGCCGCCGTCTAGGCAGCCTAGGGTTTGTCCGGAGATGGCTCTCCGCCGTATCTCCGAGTCTTTATTTGTTAGATGTCTCTTTGGATTGTTTGGAAGATGTTGTCTATTGTCGAAGATGTTGTCCGGGTTCCTCGTTTCTCCGATCGTGGGTTTCGATCACAAAGAAGGTCTAGCCCGTTGAATACGGTGATGAGACGAACGGCAGCTGTTTCGAGGCGGCTGGATCGAAGGAGCCTTGAGATGCGGCAAGGGGCTGGCAGAAGGTTCAAGCAACAAATTTGCATGGAAAGCTTCGGGGACATGTCTGATGGTGAGGTGGTGGCGAGTGAGCGACGGGCGCGACCCCCTCCTGAGCCGCCGCCATGGAGTGCAAGCAAATCTAGGGTTTTGAAGAAGATTTATTTTATTGGTTTTGTTTGTTCTTTCAGTGATTGTTATGTCTGTCTTGCTATTTGCTTTTTATTTATCGTTCCTGTTTGTAAGACGTTGATTTTTGGATGTGGGAGATGAGAGGAATTTGGTAACCAAGTTAGGCTTATTGTTTCCCAGTTATGGATCAGCGAATTATATTGCTACGACGATTAATTCTGAGTATGGTTCGAGGGATGACGGTTATCAATTTTCGTTTTGTCAGTTGACCCATATTCTGAACTTTGATTGTTTAGTTATATAAGCCGATTTCCTTCAAAAAAACCTCATACTCCCTCCGTCCCGTTGGAATGTTCCCGATTTCCTTTTTGGATGTCCCAAAAAGAAGTTCTCATTTCCCTAAATGGAAAGTTATCCTACATCAAAATAGTGTCAAACAATGTCCAAACAGTGTCAAAACAGTAAAATTTACCCCCAAACAGTAAAATTTACCCCCTGGTAAGTTTATTTCCTTAATATGTGTGTAGGTCAAACCGGGAACATTCCAACAGGACGGAGAGAGTATCTTAATATCAATAGGATTTGAATCGTTACAACAGACTCAAAGAGATCAAAACTAACAATAACTATATGTAACCAATTAGCACAATCAACCATATGGCTAGATTCAGAGACGATCACCCCTGAGAGAGCAAAACGAATCGCTAACCACTAAACGGGTGTGACAAAGCAATCACTAGTCATATAGATCCTTCTAACGACATACTACCTCCGTCCCCCTAAGTTTGAGACAAGAGAAGGTGGCACGATTATTAATAAAAGTAGGTTTATGTGGTTGATATTGAATTGATAAAGTAAGAACAAAGTAGGAATGATTTAGAACTACACAAACTTTACCAAATAAGGTATGAGACAATTTTAATGGGACGGACTGAAATGGTAAAACGGGACAATCATAGCGGGACGGGGGGAGTAATATCTAACAGAATTTCCAATCATTATTGTAGATCTAAAGCTAAAGACATCAACAAAAAATAGAGCAACGTAAAACATAACACGAAAGTAAGACCATAAAAAAATAAAATGGATGATAAATCTTCCAAATCCTAGCACTCCGATCGCTCCAGGGCGGCGGTTCAGGAGGGGGCGGACAACCAATCTGCTTCTCCCTTGAGGTGAAATTCATCCAAACAGAACCCAATATGGTCACCCCATCCATTTGTACGTTGCGCCCAACACAGTCCCAGTCGCCCCCATCTGACAGTCAAGCCGAGCGGAACTGACCAAACAATTTTCCAATCGAAGATATCAATCACAGACCACCATATTCAATCCATATCAGCACATCCAAAAACATAAACCATAGAGAAGCAGACCATGCAGAGGCAGAGCGTGGTAACGACTAACGATCGCCCTCCCAACATAGCTCCAAATCATTCACCAGACAAAGAAACAGAGCAAGCCGTCTGCGGGAAAAACAAACCCTAAACGAAAGTTAGGGAGAAGATCACAAAGAAACGACGCTGTAAAAATAATATGTTAACCAATTAATCTAACCGATCGAAAAAACGAGGAACAGATGATTTTTGAGGAGATCATATTTGGCTTCTCCTCCGTACGCTTCTCTCCATGAGGGAGAGAGCAGGAGCGCGGCAGCTCGTTCGATTATATTGTTATTCGAGTTGGTAAAATATACCGTACACCCGGTTGTACGGTCCTCACCGTACAACCGGGTATTTTTGCAATTGTTATCAACTTCTCTCAGGTGGCAAGGTCCCATCATTCGTGTTTGAGCTGCGCTGATTCCTTCGGCCATCACATGAAAACGGTGGTCGCATGCTCGTTAGTTTACTTTTCTTTTTTTTTTCGTTTCTTTGCTTTTCCGATTTACGTTTCTTCTGCTGTTCTGTTTTGTTTCTGTTTTCACGTTTTTCCTTTTGTCTTTTCTTTTCTGCTTTTCTTGCTTTTACTTTTTTTTTATATACTCTGCAATCTGGCCGAATGTTTTCAACCACAAAGTGCTACCTCTGATCCATCATCCACATACTTATATTTAAGAATTCAACTAAGCCAGGATCTTAATATTTGAGTGAAGAACATGCACAAATTAATATTAATATTTGAACAGACTTTAAATTTTAGGAAATTTTAATAGAGCTTTTTGAATTTTACGATACTCACTTAGTAAGTTATGTATACTCATTTCATATTGATATAATGCTCATTTTAAAATGTCATATACATGCATATTGATGCAATGCTCATTGTACATTTTCCATTACTCATTTCGTAAGTTATGTATGCTCATTTGATATTGATGTTATGCTCATTTTAAAATTTTATATCAATGCATATTCCAAAAGTATCATATTCCGCATTACATTAGATTCACATATGATTTGATTATAGATATAAGAGCGCAAATCACGAAACTCAATTGTATGTTTTTAATACTCAATACATGAGGTTTGATGCTCAATGAAAATGGCTTGATACTTAACTAAAAATATTATGATTTCATATCAATGCTCATTTTATAAGTTATGTATGCTCAATTGGTAGTCATGTTATGCTCATTTTCAAAATGTCATATTAATGCTCACTCAACAGAAACCACACTTTTCATCTCAATAGGGGAAGTTTGATGTTCAATTAAAATGTCATGGTGTTCAAATAACAAATTTTACAATGTGCACTTTTCAATTTATGGTGTTCATATCAATGTGCACTTTTCAAAATGTCATGGTGTTCACATATCAATGTGCACTTTTCAATTTATGTATGCTCATTTGGTATTGATGTTATGCTCATTTTTAAATGTCATATTTCAAAAGTATGATATTACATTAGACTCACATATTGAAATTAATAGGAGTGAATTATAGATATAATTTTATAAATTTTTATAAAAGAAAAAATAAGAAAAAGAAAAAAATAAGAAAATATGAAGCATAGATTATGATACTCATTGTTAGCCTCTTAATACTCAATACAACAGGTAAAATGCTCACTAAAAGTACACTATTGCTCATTTTAGTGGAGGCCGTGACTTTTCACTTAAATTACAAGAATGCCACCGATTTTTTTTTTGGCCCATATTAATTATTTGGTTGTCTTCCTTAGTTGGGCCGGGTGTAGGTACACCCGGTTGTACCATATAGGCACTCTGTTCTAGGTTTGCTGGTTAATAAATCTTAGATCAGTGCTTTTTAATTGTGACAAAACTATCAATTAGACTGTCGCACTATTAACAATTTTTGATTAATCTCTCACACTTATTAATCACCCAATTATGTCTATGCAGTTCTAAAAACACCTAGATCGTCCATTTACAA